AAATAATATATATATAATTAATAATATATATTTTTCATTTATTATCTGTTGCTCTTCCGGTTGACTTTATGTTATTAGATTAAGCAAAACACTGTTTCTAGAACTTACATTCATCAGAATTAATACTTATTAATGCACTCCTTGTAATTGAAATTGGAGTCTCAATGTCTTATTTTCTACCTTCGTCACCTTAGCAACGATGTGACAGGCAGCAACGCTCTTTTAAAGATAATTAGTTGGAAATCTGTTATTTAATGAAAATCCATTTCAACTATTGGAAATATTAGATAAAACGTTTATAAAAGTGAAATAAAATATACTTTTTTTTAAAGAAGAATGAACAGATAAATCGATAGAATGAACAGATAAATCGCACAGGAGTTGAATGTGGCTAAAATGCGCTAAATTAAAGAGGTTACTTTGTTCATTTTTAAGGATGTTAGCAAATTAAAACTGAAAATTTTATAGAACCGAATTCATAGAAATAGAAAAATGATTGATATATATTTATCATTAAAAAAAAAAGAGTTGTACAACTTTAATTAAATAGTAAAGTGTTGACTTTTTTTGTAAAAAGGTGAACTGGATTGATTTGTTTTTTTTCCTGCCCTTTTAGATAATGAATTGGTAATCGGTTATTTAATGCAAATCTATTTCAACTTTAAGAACTCTCTTAGATAAAAATATTAATAACAAATATTTTTCAAAATGACAACATGCATTCAATAGAATGTATAGGTTAATCACACAGGAGCTGAATGTGGTTAAACTGAGTCAAATTAAAGCGGTTACCACTTTGTTTGCTCAATTTTAAAGACGTTAACAAAATAAAACCGAAAATTTCATAGAACTGAATTCATAGAAATATAATAATGACTGATATATATTTATTATTAAAAAAAGAGAGAGATAGAGAGAGTTGTACAATTGCAATTAAATAATAAAGTGTTGGCTTTTGGGCACTTGATTGATTTGTTTTTTCCCCTTTAAAATAATGAGTTGGTGCAGCAAAAATAATAGGTATACTAGAAACTATACTAGTAAATAAAAGAAACGTCTCCAGATTTCATAAGGCAATCAAACATTGTCTTTCTCCAGAATGATTTGGCTATATTTTTATCTTGCTTAAATATTTATTAGCAACCACTGATGTCTATATTTTACATTTTTTTTAAAAACTCTAAAAATGCATAATAAATACGAACATTAGCGGACAACCTTCATAAAAAAATAATAACTTTCATAAAAAATTTTGATATTTTATTTATTTAGCAATAGATATATTTAAAACATGATGTAAGTGTGCTTTATTGAACCTTTTATTATGAAAAAAGAAGGAAAAAAAAATTTGTTGATGAAAATAGAAATTGACGTAATATTTACACAAAAATAAATAAATTTTCACTGTTTAGATATATTATCCAGAGAAGAATTTGAAAAAATGATGGTCGCAGTCATTAACGATATTGATTCCGATGATCACATGTTACTGTCCTTTCATCAATTGACTTTAAACAAATCGAATACAATTTCGGTTGATGACTTAAAAAGAACAGCCGATCTCTTCAGCATGGATTTGTCGAATGAAGAATTACAAGTAAGAACAGTTTTAAATTGCATTATTTTACATATCTCTAAGAACGGCCATTTAACAAATACTAAGAAGATTAAATATATTTGATATGTTTTTTAAACATCACATTTTATAGGATAAATAAAACTTTTTGAAACAACAAATCAATAAATTAAACACTACAAACATTCTTTGTCTAAACAAAAAAATTTGTAATCAATTATAAAACTTGTTTATCCAACGAGAATTTTAAGCAAAATATAATTTTTTGCGATTCTTTATTATTACTTAACAACTGTCAAAAAATTTTAAATTATAAGATGTGCAAAATTTTTGCATAAATTTAAAACTAATAGTCCATTAAATGTCATTTAGTTGACATTTAATTTTTTTCAATTAAATGCTCATTTAGTCAAATAAAATAAAAAATAAAATTTCAAACTAAATTGCTCCCGAGTAATGAAATTGAATAACTAATATTTTGAAATTATATCAAGAATTATAAGACTGATTCCTTTCAAGTTCTTTCAGTTAAAATTTTACAGTTTGAAATAATATAACATTTTGTGTACCTTAAAAACCAAATGTTTTTTTTTTTTAACCATTATAAAATTAATAAAGAATGTTAAAAAATATTTAATTTTTTTGGATAATAAAGTTTTATTATTAGTGCAAATTTTTTTTAATTCATTCAAATAAATACAAGGAATTCAAAAATTGAAATTATCATTAATAAAACCGAGTAACTTTTGACCACTTTCCAAACTAGCTTATTATGTTTTTCCCATATTAATTATTTCTATGTTTTGAGAGTCAGAATCTTCCTTCATAGAGTCATACTTAAGGTTAGCCCTTTCGACCCATTAAGATTGCTTTCTAGTACGTGAAAATTCTATTTCTTAATCAAAAGTTAAGATGTTCCTCTTTTTTTTGGTGAGCTGTACATTAATATACCACCCTCCGCATTTTAATGAGTGTTTTCCGTAGAACAGAATTTGTTAATATTGTATTTTGCATCAACTGTATAAGAAATACTTTGACAACAATATTACTAGATATTGATTGAATAAAATGCATCACGCTTGCTTATATAATTAGTATTTTTCATCATTGCAGGCACATTATAAATTCCCCTCTGGTATAATGCGTTTCTTATGTGTTTTTGGAAAAGTAGTGCATATTGAGGGGAAAATTTTTTAGTTACTCAAAGTATGCTTTAGAGGCATTCTGATAACAACTACTGAAACTGTGAAATTCATAATAAAGTCGGAACTCTATTTAACGAAGCTGCTAAATCCTGATAAGAAGTTTGTTATATGGAAAATTTGTTAAATAGAAAATCACCATTTGAAATACTTAGACAACACAAAACAGGTTTTAAATTTATGAACACTAGACATAATTAAAATAGCAATTGATGTATCTTTATCTTGTAAATTACTATCCACTACTGAATTGTCTCAAATGATTTTAACATTTTACCATATGAAGGTTTAGTGATTTCTTCATCATTTTCGTCTTTCTCACTATTTATTACTGTATTGTTTTTTTATTTTTCGCACTATCCAAAATATCTGATTCAGTAAATATTTCTGTGGTTGCAGCTTCAGAATCAATAAAAAGAAAATCATTGATCAGTACATCATTAATTTAGTGGTTCTCTCAGCTGTACCCACATTTTTTAAGTTCTTCTAAAGGAACGTCATCCTCCTCCTCCGTACTTTCCAAATTCTCTGCGCTAAGAACCTAGCTTTAGCAAAAATGTTACGAATAGTACAATCTGTAACATCATAGTTCCATGCTTTAGAAATTTCTGTTATGTTTTCTCATAAATTGATTTTTGGCATGGATTCCTGTATGAAATGGAAACAAAAAGGGAAAGCGATTTTACCACTATCTCTAAAAGTTAAGTAGTTAGTGCGAAAATCAATTCAAGGTAATTTCCCCCATAAATTGCGTTAACAAGTTTGAAATGTTCCAAAATACTTTGGGAAATAAGAAAAGTGGATCTTTAAGATAAGTTCGTAAAATAGAATTTTTAGTTCATTATTTATTTCATTAAGCTATCTGGAAGTAATTTTACGAAAAAATTTCCAAAATGCTCGACGTAAAATGGAAGTTCTTTAAATAGATATATATATTTTTGTACTGTATATACAGTACAAAACAGACTGTACAGTACAGACTGTATATTTTTCTTCACCTCAGGAAATGATAAGTACTGCAAGTGGAGATCAAAATGGAATGGTAACAAAAGAACAATTCCTAGAAATTGGTCGTAAAATATTTTAAGTCTTTGAAAACCAAGCTTGTATTTTTAAAAACAATAATGAAATAAAATTGATAAAACACATCATGCTTAAAAATACTTTCAACAGCTTTATTTTAAGAAATTCTTACATAATTTTCTGATGAAAAGAGTCAGCTAATGGTTTTACTATAGCTATAAACGGAAGTACATTTGATGAAAGGCTTGTGGCAGTAAAATATTCATTACAAACATTGTAAAAAATCAATACAAATGCAGGTTTTACAAAATTTTCACTAATTATGTTTAACATATATGTGACTACAATGTGTTGTATAAAAGTCATGCAAACAAAAACATGTTCTGTTTTTAGATCTGAAAGTATCTTTGACAGGGTAACATTATGTATTAAAAGAGACTAGGACATTTAATATAAAAAGATGCCATTAAAATTCTATGACAATACTACAATATAAAATGTCAATTCATTTTAAAGGTTAAAATAAATATTTTTAAATATGAACTTAAAATTAAAATGGAAACAATTGTTTGTTTTCTGTCATGGAAATTAAAGGAAAGAATAGAGGCAGAAGTAACTTTTAATTTTTGTTAATCATTAATTTAAATTTGATAATGTGCATTAAAAGATTTAAACCTTGAACTAAAAACTTTAAATTATCAGTAATAGAAAAATAATACTTTTAAATATACATATATATTTAATTAACACAACTTTAAAAACAGTTTATTAGAATTATAAATTTTTTCAAAATTAAATCTATAAATAAAAAAAAGTAAATATTTGATCAGAAAAAAATTATGATAAAAAATGAGTTCAATAAAAACAACTAGTTGGAGATCATTTTTAATTTAAAAGAATTACATATAATTATAATATAAACTTTATATTTCTAAATTTATTAATTTTTATTTTAAATTTTAGTAATTTTAAATTAAGAATAGTATAAAAAAAATTATTATAGATCTTAATATGGCACACTAATACAAGTAAAGAACCTGAAAGTAAATTTATAACAGAAAAAAACAACAAAATAAAATCATAATATTTTTTCAACTAAAAAGTAACAAGTGAATAGCTTAATTTTTTTCTTCTGTATAAATAAATTTTACATAATACAAGAATAATTTAAAAGAAAATACTTTTTAGTTTTTTCAGCTACACTCAAAAGAAAAAGAAAATCTATTTACAATTTTAACTTAAAGATGTACATTATATATAAATACAAGGTTTCATACATTTTTCAGTGTATTCAACCAATTAATTCTATCTATATGCACACTATGTTCAGAGATGGTGGGGATAACGAGAAAAGCCGTCAAACATATACACTATCAACATGAAAGAAAAAGAAATTTCTTCCGTACACCAAAGTACAAAATATCTACAGTCATTTTTATATACAATGTATAAATGTTCTACAAAAATATAAACCCATACAAATATACCAAAAGAGCTGTGCCCATGGTAAATTTGTACAATGGCTATGGGCGTAGCTAGGCCAACAGAAGCACCAACAATACAGTATTTCTGAACGGTTCCGATATCTAAACAAAATGCAAAACTATCACTGCCCACAAGTGACTAACAATAAATATCTTAACTTCACTCTACATCAAAAGTAAATGGCTGCAATGAAAAGTTCTAAAGAACATTTCAGAGAGCTGCAGACTTATCTAGACAAACTTCCTTTACAGATGAACTCAATTTACCAATTTTTGGTAAGAGACTTGAAATCTTCAAAAATGCTAATGTCCATGAGTTACTTTTTATAATCAGAGGCACTGTCGAACTTTAACTGCTTAGAGATTTCAAGAAGTATTTCACCTTTGGTATTCTTTCAAAGGTTTTACTATTTTTTCTGAAAAAAAAATATCTAATTATTCAATGCGTTTTGTGAGGATGAATACTCTTAACATACATTTTCACAATCATTGTAAAAAATAAACATGTGAAAAATTAATATTTCAGTAGGTAAAACAAAAAGGTTAATGAAATATAGCAAATCCCTATCCCTAAAACTGGAAACATTAAAACCTGTTTCGTTGACATTGGAAAAAAAAGTTGAACGGTACTTTAAAAAAACAGTTCCAAGTTTCATCAGGATATCACTGGTTAGTTTAAACATTTCTCATTTTATTACTTTTGCTACTGATTTGACAAATTTTTTATGCATTTTTGTTCCTTCCTCACTTAAATCTAATTTGAGAACTCTAGTCTGCCGTGCAATAGAAAAATCAATGAAAGCAACAAAAAATTCAAATTTGAGATTTGAATATATTTGGCATCTTTGTTTGATAAACAACATATTGCAAAGAAAAAAAAATTTTTTTTTTCAAAAATAAATTTCATTCTATCAATTTTTGCATTCATAGTATTAGCAATAGAAAGAAGAACAAAACTGTCAAGCCACTTTTCTATAAATCTATCATGTTTTTTCAATTGCACAGCAGAAGTGCATACAATTTCTTTTTCGATGAGAATTCTATAAAGAAATATCAGGGGAAATGATTATGGAAGACTAAGTATATAAAGATAGAAAATTAGTTATTTTCAATAGTTTGCTTCTTACCATCAGCAAACAATAGAATAGATATGTGCCTTAAATAAATAAACTGCAACAAATAGAAGTTTTTTATTTTATTTAAAATCATGTGTTTCTCTCCCTTATTTTCACAAAACATTGACATCAAAATCGTAAATAATAATAACAAAACAACAATGCTAAACATTCACCCTACATTTTTACCAGTGACAAATTTTAAAATCAATTTATAGAAATTCTAGAAAGTAATAAACAATGAATGCCACATTGAACATGTCTGAAATGATAATAATGTAATATCACTAACGTGGAGCATAATTATGATCAATATATTAAAAACTAATTAAATGAACAGCATTTTGATAAAGAACCATAGAATACAGAAACCTAAAATTATTTTTTAACCATCCCACTTGTATTTTATATTTCATTATAGTTTAAATTTATAGTTAATTATTCTAACCAAAATTATTATTGCATGCTTACCAATGTAGAGCTATTATGCTTTAAAAAGTAATTCAAAATTCTAAAATGCTTTTTCAAATTTTTAATGAATAACATTAAATAATGTTCATTTAAAAAATAAAAAACTATTTTTAAAAATTTTTTTTTTCAGAAATTGAAAAAAAAAATTTGTGAAATAGTTTTACTACTAATTACCTTAAGCAAAAAATAAAACTTTAACTATTTATAACTATGAAGTTTAAAAACATTTTGATTTATTTAGATAATTTTGTGACCAATAAATGTATTGAATTGTTTAGAGCTTTCATTATATATTAGTTAATTACTTTTGAATATTAAAGAAATTACTTAGAATTTTTATAAATAATTATACACAAATATTAGCTATTTCAAAGAGAACACAAAACATTAAAAAAAAAAAAAAAAAAAAAAAAAAAAAAAAAAAAAAAAAAAAAAANAGAAAACAAATTCAAAATGATAGCAGTTGCCAAATGACAAATGCTTTATAATCACAATTTAAATCCTGAAACATGTTAATTAGTACAAAAATCAACCAGAAAAAATTAATTACTACACAAATGATACTTACCATTATATACTTTTAAAATAGCTTCACAGACAAACTTGTATTGACTCTACAAATAAAAGAAATATTTACTTTTAATTACTTAGGCTGATATCAATGCATTTATAATCTATTAGAAACTTATATTTTAAGAATTCTGTTTTCAAAATTATAAATAAAAAGAAGGGACATTAACACAGTATGCATAAATAGAATGAAGAATAACAATCATTTACTCGTGTTTGCACAGTAAAAGACAAGGTCTAATTCAGAAAAAATTCAAAATTATAAAAACAATACTTTTAAACAGTCAGAATAAAACAGTTCTCCCTCTCAATAAACAAAAACTAGTATCTATAATATAACATATAGTACGTATATATTTAGAATAGCAAATCGAAATGAGCAAGTTAATCTCCCAGATATATATATAAAAAAAAAAAACACAAATAAAAGTACTGTGAAAATTGAAAATTATTGGTTTCTGCTCATATCCACATAAACTGGTGCTGTTCATGGTAAATATTTAAGCCAGAAATATTAAGTTCAACACCAGAATTCACTTTTAAAAAAACAGTTCCAAAATCAACTCACATCTGGACCTTTTAATATAAAAGTTCATGATGAATACATTAAACAGAATTTCAAAAAATTGAGTAAAAATTTTAAAATTAAAGAAATGAGCAAATTTAGATGGAAAAAACATTTAATTTTCCTTCATACAGTTAAAATTTTCTGGATTTATCATAAATTCTTAGAATTTTACCCTGAAAACTCTAAGACAAAATGAAAATCTGTGAGATTCCTTGAAAAACGTGAGAATTGTGATAAAATGTAGAAAATTGTAAATGTCGAAAATTAAATCGTATATTTTTTAAATCTAATTTTGTTCATTAGTATTTTATAGCTAAAAGTTTTATGATATTAAACAAAATAGTTTTTTTTAAATTTTGGTAATACATACTAAAGATAAATATTAATAGATTTCGAAAATGCTTATTACAATAATATTTTAAGAAATTTAGTTTCATAAATGCTTGTTAAATAGAAAATGTAAATAACAAAAAAGAAAAGAAAAGAAAATCAATTATTATCATTACTTTGTTGGAGAAGACAGTAAAAAAAAACGAGTCCTGTACTGATTCGGTTATTTAGACATTTTGGTTATTCAACACTGTACTGCACTTAAAAAGCAAAAGTATAGTTTAAACAATAAAAAAAGTGAAAATATAAATATCTTACAATGGTTTGTATCAGCATCGCTCTCTGATCTCTCATTGCCTTCACAATATCGAGTGGATAGACAGGTTCATTTGCTTCAATAAGGCACATTGCTGTTTCCATCAATATTAAAACACCAGTACGCCCAATACCAGCACTATATAAAGGAGNTTAAAAAATATTTAAAATAATGAAAAAAATTTTTTAAACATAACGACAAACAGCACAAATAGTATCATTTTAAATCATATATTCAAAAATTAGAGTCTTTTTTATCAATTAAATAATTTTTGGACCATTAAAAAATATTTAAAATAATGAAAAAAATTTTTTAAACATAACGACAAACAGCACAAATAGTATCATTTTAAATCATATATTCAAAAATTAGAGTCTTTTTTATCAATTAAATAATTTTTGGACCATTAAAAAATATTTAAAATAATGAAAAAAATTTTTTAAACATAACGACAAACAGCACAAATAGTATCATTTTAAATCATATATTCAAAAATTAGAGTCTTTTTTATCAATTAAATAATTTTTGGACCATTAAAAAATATTTAAAATAATGAAAAAAATTTTTTAAACATAACGACAAACAGCACAAATAGTATCATTTTAAATCATATATTCAAAAATTAGAGTCTTTTTTATCAATTAAATAATTTTTGGACCATTAAAAAATATTTAAAATAATGAAAAAAATTTTTTAAACATAACGACAAACAGCACAAATAGTATCATTTTAAATCATATATTCAAAAATTAGAGTCTTTTTTATCAATTAAATAATTTTTGGACCATTAAAAAATATTTAAAATAATGAAAAAAATTTTTTAAACATAACGACAAACAGCACAAATAGTATCATTTTAAATCATATATTCAAAAATTAGAGTCTTTTTTATCAATTAAATAATTTTTGGACCATTAAAAAATATTTAAAATAATGAAAAAAATTTTTTAAACATAACGACAAACAGCACAAATAGTATCATTTTAAATCATATATTCAAAAATTAGAGTCTTTTTTATCAATTAAATAATTTTTGGACCATTAAAAAATATTTAAAATAATGAAAAAAATTTTTTAAACATAACGACAAACAGCACAAATAGTATCATTTTAAATCATATATTCAAAAATTAGAGTCTTTTTTATCAATTAAATAATTTTTGGACCATTAAAAAATATTTAAAATAATGAAAAAAATTTTTTAAACATAACGACAAACAGCACAAATAGTATCATTTTAAATCATATATTCAAAAATTAGAGTCTTTTTTATCAATTAAATAATTTTTGGACCATTAAAAAATATTTAAAATAATGAAAAAAATTTTTTAAACATAACGACAAACAGCACAAATAGTATCATTTTAAATCATATATTCAAAAATTAGAGTCTTTTTTATCAATTAAATAATTTTTGGACCATTAAAAAATATTTAAAATAATGAAAAAAATTTTTTAAACATAACGACAAACAGCACAAATAGTATCATTTTAAATCATATATTCAAAAATTAGAGTCTTTTTTATCAATTAAATAATTTTTGGACCATTAAAAAATATTTAAAATAATGAAAAAAATTTTTTAAACATAACGACAAACAGCACAAATAGTATCATTTTAAATCATATATTCAAAAATTAGAGTCTTTTTTATCAATTAAATAATTTTTGGACCATTAAAAAATATTTAAAATAATGAAAAAAATTTTTTAAACATAACGACAAACAGCACAAATAGTATCATTTTAAATCATATATTCAAAAATTAGAGTCTTTTTTATCAATTAAATAATTTTTGGACCATTAAAAAATATTTAAAATAATGAAAAAAATTTTTTAAACATAACGACAAACAGCACAAATAGTATCATTTTAAATCATATATTCAAAAATTAGAGTCTTTTTTATCAATTAAATAATTTTTGGACCATTAAAAAATATTTAAAATAATGAAAAAAATTTTTTAAACATAACGACAAACAGCACAAATAGTATCATTTTAAATCATATATTCAAAAACTTTCAAAGTTAAAAAGTTACTTACGTCATTATTAATCAAAGTAAATTCTCGAAAGACAAATGATGACTTTTCCTGCTCTCTTATGCATGTGACACGGAGGGGACCAAGCTCTAATGTATCGTACAGATTTGGCCAGTATTTATGACATTTCGATCTTCCTCTTTCCATTAATGTAGTGACCATTACAACTAAAGTAGATTGCTGTTCCCATACCATCTAAATAAATATATTAGACTATAGATTTCTTCATAATTGCATTAAATAATCATATTAAATAATTAAATTGCATTAAATTACATAAGTTAAATAAAAATGTCAATACATACATAAAGCTAATTAAAGTTTAAAACAAAACTTTTATATGCATTTTTTAGAACAGCAATATTTTAATACAATCAAAATTCTATTTTTTTTTCGTAAATTTTAGGTACACTTAAAATATAACATACAATTTCCACACAAAGTGAAATGAAATAAACATAACATTTGATGGATTTTTTAAGCAAAAATATAAGCATAATTTTTACTTAATAAAATTTAAACAAGAAAGAGTATTCAGATCAAGCAGATTTAAAAAAAATGAAAAATTCAAAGCTCATCCAAGAACTTTTTTGTTCTACATAGGATTTTTGAAACCGTACATTTTTTTAGAGGTTAAAAATCATATTTTATCTTCATCAATTATTCTGCACTAAAAAATCCTTTAAATAATAAATTTGAAAGTTATGAATGTGGTTTTATCAATGTAAATTTTAGTTTTACAAGGCAGTTATATATTCTGCACCACATCCAAATTTTACATACATGTTTTATTAACATCGTGTTTACGTACATGTTTTTACAGGTCAAAAATCATATTTGCCCTTAATCTATTATTCTGCTTTAACAAATCATTTAAAAAATAAATTTGTAAGTTATGCATGCAGTTTTATAAATGTAAATTTTAGTTCCACAAAGCAGTTATACATTCTGTACTATATCCAAAATATTAAATAACACTCCAAAATTTTTCACATACCAGCCAAAAATTCATGGTTGTATTTGGAAGTGGACCTTGGCAAGCAATATATCTGTTTACAATACCTGATGTGGGAATCTCCATCTACACAAAAATAAATAAAAATTTTATTGGAACCAGTATAATTTCAATAGGCTGTATTTTTTACAATGCATTTGAATTACTCACATTTACATGGCTGGCATTTATATAATCCCCATTAGATCCTCCATGCAAAATCACTCTGGTGCTGTCATCTATAAAATAGATAGTGCAAAGAAAAGTTATAACATGATACTTCATGATAGCATTATGGATAAGATCTCATCAATGCATGGGTTTTACTTACAAGGTGATATGTCTTTATATCGATTTTTGTTGAGGTTTTCAGGTAGTTTAGCAATATTCATAGACATGCCTGGTTTTTTCCTGTACAATTGCTATAAATAAAGAAATGAATGATTAAAACAAAATAAATATAGCTTTCATCCAAACTAGGAAAAATAAATGCGATAAGTCAGGAAATCTTCTGCAAAATTCGTAAATTAAATTAAAACTGATTTCTTTAGTTTTTTATGCGCATTGCAGAACACATAACAGAAATAGATGTGTAACTGGGTGAATGTTATGGCTAAAGTTCCTTAAAAATAAGAATGAATGCTCTGGTTAAAATAATGAAATTTGCTAAATTAACAGTAGAATTATCAATAACTATTAATTTAAAATAGAGTTGTTAACATTAAAACGCACATCTCATAGCGAATTTTAAATTATACTTCATTCAAAGAGAAAAGAAATAAATTTCTGTTAGAAATCAAGTTATTTAGAAATGAAAAAAAAAGCAAGTAATATTATAGAATACTTAGTAATGATATAATAAAAAAAATATTCATAAATAAAATTATGATCTTTCAAATTAGTGATCTTTCAAATTAGTAAATAAAATTATGATCTTTCAAATATAACTTAAAGTGACTTCAAGTTTTACATGAAAAATAAAACACTTTTTTATGAGGAATTCTTGTCTTGAAATAAAAGTATTGTAACCCTTTTTTTTTTCCTTCAAATTTGTAACAATTAAGAAAGTTACAAGATATTTATACTATTATGCACTTCTTTTTAAAAAATAAATAAATAAAGTCTAGGTTGTTCCACTCACATCAAATCTAGCTATAGCTGCACCACTTTCTAAACCATCACTAAGAAGTAGCATGGATTCAGCAAGCACATCCGAACGTGGAACTTTAGAGGACACATGGTCAGCATCAGGTATATATTGAAAATCTGGCTCTTCCACATCCTCTCCAGCATAGACTTAAAAAGAAAAATTGTATAAAACAAATCAAAATTAGGACTAAAAGACATCACAACTACAAAACTAAGAGCAGAAAAAAATAGAAGAAATTTAATTTTCTTTTTCTTTTTGAAAAGTATACAAGCAAAATTTTCCTTTTTTCTTATCACATAGCAATTTACTCTATTCAAACCATTTATTCCAAATAAATCTTTAATCTTTACTTAAATACAACAGAATTATATTCAGCTATATTTCTAATACTGTAATAAGATACGTCAGATATAGCCAAGGACAAATTCAGGCAGGGAGTTTGACGAAGGCGGTACATTTGATATATAACTTATAAAATAATACATAGTAATCATATACTTTATTTCTAGCACTATGAAATACATTAATATTTAATTGGGCAGCTAGCTGAATACATAAAATAGTTAAATATAAAAGATTTATGAATCTAGAGTTCAATTAAAAATATTTTTAACAGATATAACCAAGGTAGTAATAACCAGACACCTAGAGTGAGTATTGCAGATTGATTTTGTGTAAAATTCTTTTTAAGATGAAAACTCTTTTGAAAAATGGAAAAATCTTAAAAACAAATATTTTTTTACATACAAACAAATATCTAAAACAAATATTTTTTTGACATTAAAATTGATTTCAAACATATGATTCTTATGTGTAGTATAAACTTTAAATACAGTTTAAATCAAAGGAATTTTTTTATAAGTATTTCCAACAAAAACCTGATATTAGCAAATGAAAATTTAGCTTTAGATATTTTCAATGATATTGAACCAAATTTGCTTATAATACTAGATTTGGTTTTGCCTTCACTGGACCATAGGCAAAACAAATTTGGATTTTGATGAAGGTTTTGCAGATTAATATTTACAATTCTGCAATTTTGCGGTTTATTGAATAGATGCTGATAGAGTTGTTTTGAGAGCACATTAGTTACAAAAAAGATCACTATTCTCTAAAATATAAATTTTCACAACTAATTCCATACAAATTTTTGTTTATTTGAAATATTCTGACAAAATATTATAGACTAAATAGAACTTTACGAAAAATTAACAAAAAACAGACATTTTTGATTTTGAAATCATACAATTTAAACAGCATAAAACTTGATCATGTTACATTATAAAATAATCAACATTGTAGTATTGTATCATAACTTTATCAGCTTACGCATATGTTCAAATAAAAGACATCCAAAAAAAATAGAGTACAAAAACTTTACAATATAATAACCCCTGTACTAAAATTAAAGAAACTCTTTTACTTTTAGTTTTCAGTTACAAAACAACCACTTAGAATTTTACTGCAAATATCTCCAAACAGTTTAAACTATACCTTGCATAAGATTTTAAGATGAATTTCAAAATTCAGTAATAATAACGAATTTGTTCAAAACACTTACAGTTAGCTTTCTTACAAAAAGATATAAATAAAACAATTTTAAACATTTAAAATTAAAGTTTATTTTAAAACAACTTACCATTTGGACGTACGGTTAAAACTAACTCAGCTGGATGACGATCTCGAGAAGCTCGTATTAGTTTCACAACCTAAATTTTAAAAAAATTAAAAACTTAATATTACAAAAAAATATTAACTTAGTATTTCTGACTAACTTTAAAATTAAATTAGCACCACATAATAGTGAAAATTGAAAATTCTTCTGTGAGAATTTTATCACTTATAATAAGAGAATGAAGGAAAAGATCAAAATGTAAGCCTGATAACGAAGAAAAAAAAAATAGGATCAAAAATTCAAAAAAAAAATAATAATAATTAATCACGGGTTGTAGGAAAAATATAAATCACAGAATAAATTATCTGATAGTGTGAGATTATTTAGATTAAATATAGGGTTTAAGGGCAAAAATGTCAGAAGCAGCGAAAAATGTTTATGGTAAGACAATATATACTAAGCACAAATATTATCACATAACCAATGTAACAAAATCAAACAATGTTTCAAATCTGACACAAAACTAAGAAGAAAATAAATTAAAGAGGAGAAATAACTGGAGTACCTTAGGGTTTTTGTCACCATATTTAGTGGAAGAAGGTTAACCCTTTGAGGACTTAGGGAAGAGTGAATATCATAAAGCATATCTTATTTTCTATTAAATGAACTTCAACTACACTCTTAGTAAAATTTATGTAATTCCAGAGAATACAATTAAAATGTCCCATATAATGCAGCATCATTACAATAAGGGTTTAAGGACCAGATTAAAATATTTAAATGTTAGATAAAAAATTGATGTATCAATTGACAATTGGTGTATAATACTCAAAGCTGTGTTACAATTTTAATAAATGGTACCATATTTCTGTAGAAGTTCATCTACAGTATTATGCAATAAAGAGATTGTTTTGCATGGTATTTTGGTTCAACATGCAATCATAATTTTTAAAGTGAAATATTTAGTGTAGTTTCAGAGTACAATTATAAAGCCTATAATATAAAAACATTAAAACATTCAGATGACTGGAAAATTGATGCATCAATTGATAATTGATGTATAATATTCAAAAATTATGACTATTATAAATATTTAAAAACAGGCATGAACTTGAAATGTCACCTGGTCATGAGTCAATCCAGCAACATCTCGACCATTTATCATAAGTACTTGATCACCTTCAGTTAGTCTCGGAATACAAGTATCAGCAGGTGTATTTGGTGCAACTCTTGATACCAAAATGGGAAGATTTTGGTCTGCTCCACCCTGTAGATAAAAAAATAACAATAAAGCAAACTATGAGTCACTATGTTTGATTATAACAATAAGTTAAAGGTAGAAAAAGTTTTCTTTCGGCTGCTGAAATTGATAACTCAACCTGATAAGACTAGAAAAAGAGTTGTGTAATTCTTTTTAAATAAACAATGAGGTACAGGCAGAAAAAAGTAAAAAAACACAATTAATAACTTATTTTGCTAGTGTAGTATGATAAAAAATAATTTGGATACATAATTTACCAAAATTTCATTGAAATTTTTTTTGGGAATAATCTTAACAAAATTCAAGCTCTTCCCTAAAACATGTTTTAAATGGGCATTTAAACTACAGAGTAAAATAGATTGATTGTCTTTCTTTATATTTAAAACTTAATCGCTGGTAAGCTCTATACTATATGGCAGATTTATCAAAATTAATGCATTTATGCTTGGCACTATTAACACTGAAACTATAGAGCTTTTGTGAATTGTGTGTATAAGTAGTAAGCTACAAATAAACTTAATATGAAATAAAATTAAATCAATTCTACTTGCTGATACTATAACACATACAAATCTATAGAAAACTTGATATAATTTGAGAATAGAAATTAAATTCTATTCCAAAGCACGATTCGAGGCAGTTCTTAGCTATAGTCAATATTAAAATAAAAATTATAAAGAATTAGGGGTTGAATTAATTTAACCATAACTACATAATTCGTAATAAAAAAATAATTTACTAAATTATTTTAATTTAAACCATATTTAGCTCATAGGTCATTAGTACATCAAAATATTATTGAAAGAATTTAGCTGAAGAAAAATAAAATTTTATGTAAGTATCACATTTCTTCAATGCATTAAAATAATATTTCTTTTTTAATGTATCTGATTAACAATTTCTCCAGAAAATATCCAAATGATTATGCTTTGGTAAGTTGTTGTTTGATTGAGTATGCATACAGACAGAAAGCTTATTTTGGAAAATAAAAATAATTAAAAATTCAATGCAAAACATGCGAGTGTTTTGCAATGTGTTGTATATTAACACTGAAAGAAGAAATACATAAAAACAATGATTCACTTACTTTGACATTGAATCCAAATCGACCTTGATCATCTGGTTTCATTTTGATAGTTGCTAATCCTTGAGATTCCTCATGACCATTTGCCTTTTTGGGGAAAATAAAAAAAAATCAATCAATCAAAAATAAATAATTTTTACTGTAGGTGGAAGTATTGGATTCAATTCAACAAAGGAAGCAACAACAACAGGAAACTCAATTTTTACTAAAATATTGCAGTTGAAAAATTTCTTTTGATTATAAATGTTGGGTACTTCGAAAAAATGATTTTTAAGAAAATAAAATGGATAATGTAATTAATAAGTAAAACATAGTGTAATTTTGAAAGGGATTTAAGTAATAAAATAAAAAGGGCACAAAAAATAACGATCGTAAAATATTTTTTATTAATACAATAAAAAAAAAATTTTAATCAAAAAGGAAAATGGGAGAAAATCTCAAAAGTGCCACTGAGGAAATTATGAGTCTCAGGAAATTATGAGGGAGATATAGTGGTTTGTTCAGAAGTGGACATTAATTTTACACTTCCAGTTTGGCCTCTTCAGTGTTTTTTTAAAGACTTTTCTGTATTGCTATTGTCTGATTTTTTTCTAAATTTTGGCACTTTAAGTTATAGCTGTATAATAGTTTACTAAAAGGAATATTGTAAGGGAACAGCAAAAGCTTAAAATTAAAAAAATATCATTTAAAGTATGTGAGTATTAAAAAAATTGTGTTAATTGTTTCCTTTACATGTATTACTCATTTATTTACTATTTTAAAAGTTCCTTTCAAAACAAAAATTGTTCAGCAAAATTTGAAAGTTAGTGTTAACATGTCCGAAGAAAACAAAAATGCAGGGTTTTCCTATAAATATTAGGTTGCAACATTCCAGCAAAAAATAAATAAATAACATGATAAATCTTTGTAAATACAACAACGTAAAAGTTTCAGGACTACAACATAAAAAATCATTTAAGTGAAGAAGGTGGCTTCTTTATCTAAAACAGTTTTTTTTTCTGTTTAAATAAGAAAGATAAGCCTCAAAGGATACAATACTAAAATCTATAAAGATGAAACAACAACGAACTGAAAGAAAAGACTTGCATTTGCAAAGAAACATCGAAGTCTTTTTCTCTTTAAATTACAGGGTGAACTTAAATGATAGAAAACAAAAATATGAATATGGCAAAAACATAAATATTTCATTTCCTTACAATACTTCCAGCTCTGAAAATGAAAAATTTCAGATTTTGCTTTTTGATCATTTAAAAAAAAATCACATCATTTTTATTTCAAATTAATAATAATTGAAGAATGAACAAACGAGAAAAGATTAAACGAGAAAGAAAAGTAAAAACCGCTTAAAAAAATTCACGTTTATTCCCTAAGTTCACGTTCGATGCTTTGTAACGAATTTTGTAACTTTAATTATAAGCTGAACTTATAAATTATAACTTATTTGCCACACTATATAAATGAAATACCATTTTTATCAATAAAACAAGGGGCTGAAACATCCATGGCGCTTACATATTATAACTGGTATCCAATATTTTATTATTTTTAGAATAAATAATAAAAATGATTATTTATGTTATTAAAACATCCATACAGTTATGTTATTAAAACATCCATACAGTTATGTTATTAAAACATCCATCTATTCTATTAATGTCTTGATGTCATCGTTTGCAATGTTTTCCTTTTTTTTTTTTATCTGCATTTAAAATTGGAAACAACTATAATGTTGTTTTTAGGGATATAAAATGTGAAATGTACTCTTGTTGATTATTTTCGTGGGTAATTGAACATAATAAAGAAAATTAATGGAACAAAGCAAATAATGTTATTTCCACAATGATTATTTCATGGCTAAGCAAACCTAACAAAGAAATGGAACTGATAAAGATAAAAAATAAGTTAAGTGAAAGAGCAAACGACTTTTTGAATCAAAAAGAAGGAATTTAACAAACTATAAGGTTATTTCTATGAATTTAAGAAGAAATGTACTTTTCATTTGTTTATTGATGAAGGTAAGACGAACGAAAGCACACACGAAGTACACACCCGAAATAAATTTCACTTAGTTTTAAAACAACAAACAATTTTTGAAATTGACAAGAGGAAATTTAACAAAATATAATGCTACTTCTATGAAATAGCATTATATTATGCTACTAGTACATTATATTATGCTATTAATAGCAAAATATAATGCTACTTCTAAGAAATGTCCCTCCTATTCTCTCTTTATGCAGTAGGACAGTGTTTCCCAAACTTATGAATTTTGTGTACCCTTTCTAAATTTTTAGTAACGCTGTGTACCCCCAATAAAAAAATAAATGCATTTTTTACTATAAAAAAATGCACAAAAGTTAAAAATCACAACTGGCTGTTGACACCACGAATTATTAACTGTTAATTCTGCCAAAAATAGCCAATAGAAAAACACGTAATCGTAAATTTTCATGGCTCGTTTTGTTTTTAAACAAAAAATTTTGAAATTTTCATATGTTGCAAGATATTTCGCATAAGAACGCGTACCCCTGCTGAACTGTTCCCGTACCTCTGGGGGTACGCGTACCACACTTTGGGAAACACTGCAGTAGGAGAAAACGACTTTTGAAAGTGAAAAGAGAGATGGGCAAATATTTCTAGGAATCTGAGAATAAATTCTGATTATTTTCTGGGTAATGGTACTTAACAAAGAAAAATATTTGTTGATAAGAATAGTGTCAGTGAAAATGAAACACCTTTAATATAAGTTACAATTGATTTCATAAGAGTATATTACAATGTAGAATGAGCAAACGATTTTTGAAATTGAAAAGATAATTAAAACAAATTCGTGCTATTTATACGAATTTAAGAAGAAATGAATTTTTCTCCTGATTATTTCGTGGGGAATGGTACTTAATAGAGGAAATATCTGATGAAATAAAAACGTACGTAAAAACCAGGGCTAAAGTGTAGCCCTGCGTAAAAACGAAACATCCATTAAAAATGCTTCCTTAATTTTAATATAAAATAGCGAAGCTGCACGAGCAAACGACTATTAATAACCTAAGTTTCATTGATAAAGTTGCAATGGAGGTAGGCAGCTGGAATAGGAAATGCATCCATTTTCAAATTACAGCAGATACTTCATCAAAAAAGTAAACATACTATTGGCTACTTTATTTATATATTTTCAGATAATATTAAGTTAAAAAATAATAATTGTCTTAATATAATTCCAGAAAACCTAAACGCGATTATGCAGCTTTCCATTACATCAGTGTTTCCCAAACTTGTGACTTTCATGTATCCTTTCTAAATTTTTCGTAACTCTGTGTGCCCCTAATAAAAAAAAAAATGAAGGTATTCTTTTCTATAAAAAATGTACAAAAGTTAAAAATCTCAACTGGCAGTTGACAACTGTTAACTCAGGCAATAGAAAAATACGTAATCGTAAATTTTCGTGGATAGCTTTGTTTTTAAATAAAATTTTTCGAAATTTTCATTTGTTGCAAGATATTTTGCATAAGAACGCGTACCCCCGCTAAGCTATTCCCGTACCCCTGGGGGTACGCGTACCACACTTTGGGAAACACTGCATTACATAATATGCCGATTTAACTGAATTATAAAAAATTGGCCCTGGCTCTTAAACTCCTAAATACAATATATCGTGTTATTACGATTATTATTTTTAGTCCTGACAAAACATAGTACTTTGTCAGAGAATGCATAATAAATGTCAAGAAAGAAATTTTTATCACCACAAACTATTCCCGCGTTTTTTGCTTACATATATATATATATANATTAATATATATATATATGTGTGTGTGTGTGTGTGCGTGTTTTAACCAAATATTTCCGCTTTGTGTGAAGTATATTTATTTGTCTAATACAAAAAATATCAAATTAATCAGAAAAAGAAAAACATTTTTTTTATTCACATAACTTTAAATTATGAAAACTACGCTGAGAGAAAGAATTTAAACAAATTATAATAAAACAGATGTTTTCCAAATACATTTCCGCTTAACTAAACAAATGATCGATACCAATCATGTTTACGATGTATTATAATTGTTCATCCATCAAAAAACATCAGCACATAACGGATGAGTTTAAAAAAAACACAACACACTTTTTGGTTCGTCGGTCAATGTTCGTTACGAGTGCTTACCTAAAAAACACTTTCGCTGAACAAAAAGCCTCGCGTGTACACACACTCTGATGGTAACTTTAAAAACAATCGGAAAATCCTGTCTGGTTGACCTGATATCGAATGCCTCTCTGACAGCTTACCCATCTCCGGATGCTACGCTACATTTGCTGCACGCGAGAGTTTCTCACACAGCTATTATAAGAAAGAGTTAATGCAAATAAACTATTTTCCCGAAAGCCTCGCTATTTAGGGAACTGTTAATGACGATAAGTGGTGGTAATTTAGCGATACAAATATTATGATGAAAATAATAACAACTAATAAGATATCAATGTAAATAGAGACGTCTAAGAAAGACGCAAACGATAAATATGTAATCCCATCTTTCAAAATATTTAATAATGGAATGCTATTTGGAACAAAAAGTGAATGGCTTGAGGCAATATAGTGATAAGCCACATTATTAAATTGTTTAGGATAACGTTTTTGAAGAACACAAAGATTTCCGAGTAGGCAGGTATGTATTTTAACCAGATGTTAGATGTAATTAGATGGTTCTGTGTTTTGAAATCTTAGTCAGGAAAAATTCCATAAATTTGTAATGCACCAATCTGGAAAAAATAATAAATAAAAATTTGATTTTTAAAAGAAGTGTCATTTATTATTACATTGCCCCAAATTCTTCAATTATAGAAGCTTAAATCGATGATAAAAAAATATAAGAACAAGGTAAGTATGAAAAAAAGCTTATGGCTTTATAAATAAATAATTAAATAGGATTTTTCACACCAGTAAATGGGCGAAGGATATGTAACAAAAGTTATAAAATTTAACGTAATTTTTTTTGACACATCTTTCACGACACTAAACTTTATATTAACCAGACTTACACAGTGATGATGTCACTATCATAGAACAGAGAACTCTGAATATATCAAAATTACTT